ACTACCAAACGAACTCACTTTTACTAAATATTCAAATTCGCATTTATTCACCATATTTACTTTTTAATACAAAATTATATCCTATTAAAAGCAAACTTTTGTTCATTAACCCAAAAACAAATTTTGGATACATAAGTAAGATAAAATAGTCACGAAGTTTTAATATTTCTAAATATCGCTAAAATATGCACAAAACGATAAGTTTGAATAAATTTAGTGCTTAAAATTAAAACATAAAAATATAAAACTACATAATATATATGTGTAGTTTTATATATGTGTGTATATATATATTTATATAATAGTTGAATAACTAATATCATAATAGAATATTTTTCAAATATTAAATCAAACTTTTAACGTTTAAAATCGCATATTGTGTACATGAAACGTAATATGATTTTGTTATAAATGTAATATGAATTATTATTTGTCACATAGACACAAACTGTGAACAAAAGCACTGCAATTAATTAACATAAAATGTACAAATACTTTTCAAAATTTCTCCACAGCTTTATTTGCCTTGTTGGTGATGTTTACCTTAGATAGTGGAAGATCGATTGTAAAAAACGATAATTAATACAAGGCAGTTAGGAAATACCTACCGTAATTTAGGAACTACTTGGTAGCCATTTGAAGATTGAAACATTCCAAACGTGCTAAATTTGGAGAGCACTACAATGCTTAGAACATATTATTCCAATAAACTCCTAATTTGTAAGCCTTATTGTGAGAGAAATATATAAAATCTATTCCACTTTAGTACGAAGTCATTAGAGAGACCTGTTTAAAGTTCAAGCAACATTTTTCTCACATTATGGATAATATAAGTTCCAAAGCAAAAAGAGAAACTTAGCATTGGCCATAGACAAACCTCTTTATCACAGCTGAAGAAATGCACAATGAAACAATGCATTGTCCCTTGTAATAAAGCTAAGTGTGAACATGGCTTAATCTTAATATCTATGTCTTACGGTAAAAAGTTACGAGACTTGTCTATGGTCGAATGTCAGCGTATCGTCCTTCGAAAATGTAGTATTGAAAAATATTTTTTCAATGATACAAAATCTAAGGGCCGCGGACATTTTTATACTGGGTAATTAGAATGGCTGGCGAATTTTCCTAAACACGCGACATACAAAAATAAATAATCGATACCTATCGAGCAATACTTATCGTATAAAATCAAGAAATCGAAGTAGATTGTAGTCCCTCTGCTTTGGTCCCGCAGAATTATTTCTATTCATAATTTTATTTTTTTTTAACAAAAAGTTTTACTTTTACTCGTGAGCCATAACTTATCGGAACCGTTGTCAAAGTGACTTTAAGAGAGTAAATGTGTACAAAATTGGAAGTAAAATACTCTACCAATGATTCTTTATACTAAAGTTTTTTTTCAGTTGCTTTTTTTTTGTATTTTATTACCTATTTTATTTACTGATACAATACCAAAATTAGTGTAGTAGCACAGTTTAATGATAGTCTAACAGTTGGGAAACGAATGTACTTGTGCAGAGCAACGGCATGAGCCTTGCGGGGCAGGGGGCAGCGCGTCCGTGTGCCGTATGTCGCTGTACAATACGTGCGGTTGACGCGAGCGTGTTCTATATATAGTACTTATTTAACTAATTTAAAAAGCTGTTTTCGAAAAATATATCTATCATGGTGAATTACTGTTGTAGATATGAGTTACTAAGTAAAGTGGAATTCAAATGACAGCCATGCTATGTTTCCCTATATTTTTTTATAAAATTGTTCATCCGAATGTGGGCGCACTACCATAGTTAGATTTAACAATCGAAAACTGAAAACATCTATAAAAAGAAAGTGACACGTAAATATTTGTCAGTGCAACACTTCTAAATGTTATTGGTTGAGCCAACGCACAGCCTTGCATTTCGTATTTGTTGATGTATTTATTAATTGAGTTGGCTGGCATAATCCTTCTTTATTCCGTTCCTTCCCCGCACGGGCCTGCATAATAGGGGAGCTAGATACTGGTGGACGCATCCTTGATTCTCCAATGAGAGGCCCACGCGCTATAAGAAGACACACACCGCCACCGTGGCCCCCAGTGATCGTGCCCGCAAGCCGACAACAGTTCGCAATTGTTATCGTGCCCGCATGGCCGTAGAGAGAGGCTGCTCGCCGCTTGCCCCAGGTTGCACATCTTTATTTTGAGCTGTTTTATTTGTTGTTCTTTTATCCAGCAACTCATCTCCCGTTCTGTCAGCCAACGCCACACATTAATTTCAAAGCAAGTATATTGTCCAAAGTCCGCCACGTGCCACGTCCGCCATAACCTTTCATCACTTTTCACGCACAAAATGATCTTGTTCAATAAATGTTTTTAACTAATAAGTATGCACATAATGTAAATAAATGATAGTGAGTATTATAATATCCAAAATTGTTTTATTCTCAATTTCGTGACACTCCACACGCCTATACACGCCGCCCGCGTGAATACCTACTTGGGCGGCGTCATCGCCTGAAATCAAAGGTGTTTCACAAATGTTAGACTATCTGTTAGACTGTGTTACTAGGCACTAACAAACATGACAAGAAACGATGTTTAAACTTGAATTGTTGGTGTCATACTTATTCTACATACGTTTTTTTTTTAAATAGTATAGAGATAGGACTAACAAAACTACTCGATGCGACTTCTTGACACTTAAAATCTAAAATCGTTTCAACTGAGTCGGGTTTCTTGCAACATTGACGTGAAAAATATAAGATTAAGCATAAACAACCTTTGTTTATTGAGGCCTAACTAAAAGAAAGTTTAGTGTTAATTGATACTACTTATTTAACTAACTGTAAGTATATTTTTGTAGTTACTCTATCGGTAAATAAAAATTCTGCTAAACCATCTTTTTAAACTTCGAGAATATAGTGTTGCCAACATTTAAAAAAAAACATTCGAATTGTATAATATTTCCTTCACTTTCGAAGTCAGTTAAATGAATTTCACTGTAACAATTATTTTTGGATTTTTTGTTATCATTATTTTGGACATTTAATTTTCATTCGTAATTTTTTTCACGCCAACGTACACCAAGCTCGTAATAATTCGATTGCAACAATCGTGTGTCCATTGCGCGAGCCGGTACGTTACATAAATACATCACAATTAACAGCCTTTTTATTTTATTTTCTTATATTTTTTACAATTTCTATAGCACTAGTCTTGCTCTAAATCTATATTTATACTTTAGCGTCCTTAAAGGACATTTCTGTAAATTCTGTATAGATTTTATTAAATAATGAATACAAAGTATCAATTTACAAGAATATCAGTTCGTTATTGTTAAAATATAACATACATATTTATAAGTTAAACGTTTTCAACTATTTAAAAAGATCAAATTAGATATTTGTGAAGTTTTATTTCACACATATCTACGATTTTCATAAGAGTACAAACAACTTAGCAAACAGTCTTTAGTTTGTTTTTACTATTTCACTAAAAAAAATTACCAGTTGCATAACCAAAAAGAAATGTTGAATATGCATAAATACCGAGTTAGTATGGGAAATAAAGGTTGAATACATTTCATAAATTAATATTGAATCACGTAGACAATTCACAAAAAATTATAATTATTTAAATTTATATTATTTGCAAAGCTATATAAGTGGCATTTTTGCTTATGTTTTTTGAATACAAATTATTTTTATCTAAAGTAAAAGAAATAGTTAAATGTTGATATTGATGTTGCTAATGTTAAGGAGACGGCACGACTTGGAAAATAATTTCAAGATGAAATAATAACATTAACATGTTCCAAAAATTAAAACACAATATTAAACTATGTAATTCAAGTATTCGAAAAACGAGATTCATTTATAAGTAAGTCTATTGATGTAGCATTACGAAAATAACTAAAAACAAGATACGAAGAACGAGCCTTGAAATAATTAGCAAGTTCGGTTCGAATAACTGGTCAGTGCGCTTTTTTGTTAGAAGGGTGTAACGCCCTAAAGTAGGGATGTCAAAGTCGATTTTCTGTAGGGCTTTTACAAAATTTGTGCTAGTGGGCAAGACTCAATATAAATTTACGCAAAAAGAGGTAATAAAAATAAAATTTATTTAGGTACTAAAGCTCAGCATGACCGAAGAGGCGGGCAATTTTAGCACGCGTAAGTATAGTTAGTGTCAGTACACCCGGAGGCGCACTATTTATTTTGCTTTTATTTTACTGTTTGTTCAATAAAGTGTTTTTATTTTAAGAATAATATAGAATACTAGTTATGTTATTCTTAAGGTTATTTTAATAAAATACGAATATAAGTAATAAACACAAGCTAGGTAGCAAAGAACCTTTTACTACGGCGCTTTATTTAAAAGTGCTAAATTTTCCTGCGGCTGTACGACCTTTGATGTTGCGGCGGCGCCTTTGAAAAGATGCGGTGCGTGTCGAGGGTCGAGGCCGCCCGACCCAAAGGCAACCGTATCTAAGCGAATAGACTATACTTAAATTTATTACATAAGTAGGTAAATTTCTTTAGAACTGGTCGCGGGCCGCGATTTAGTGGTATTTCGTTATCTACTCTAAAGGGTATCCAAATTCTCAAGTCGAACCATCTCTTTGTGAATAACTTTTAACCTATAGCCAATTCATTTGGTAATATCTACGTATATAAAAAATATATAATAATATATTATATACAAATGGATGAAATCTAGAATTAACCAAAACAATAACAATTATGCGAAATATTAATGAATCACAATAATTGACAATGGCAACATATTAGAAATGCTAAAACGTAATATTGTCCTAATAGTCATATTACACATTGGCACATGTAATGTCTACAGGACCTATACGCCGTCAGTACAATTTGTTTAACTAGAAATAGCTGTCAAAACTTTAGAAATCAGATTTTCCTATATTTTCTACATTTACTAGACTTGAAGGAACCCACCACCTACAATGACTAGGTCATATGTGGGGAGTGCGGCACTTTTTTATTGTCTCGCTGTATCTTCACGCCTTCTCTTCGTTAAGGGGTTGCTCCTCTTGCTTGTGGTTTGGTTCGGCCGCCTTCGGCGAGTTCCAGGGCTGGAGCTCCCCGGATCCGAAACAAACGAAGCACAGAGCCCCAAACACGTAGGTGCCGGCCAAGATGTAGAAGACTATCTGCCATTGCTCGTATGTGTTCTGTAATAATTTAATAACGTTTTAGAATCGTCATAGCTTATAGAGGGCACTTTAGTCCGACTCAGTTTAAGGAGCCGTTTTTATTGTATGTGTGTTATGCGATATTTTCGCCATTGAAGGTATCCACGACTTATTCTGTCACCATGGCGGCGCAGCGCCACTGATGAATGAGGTGAAATAATTGACCGATTTCATGGCAGGGGAAGATAAATTGTGAGAAAAGTGTAAAAAATAATCTTTTTTTTAATCAAATATTAGTTATATTTTATAATAATTAGATTAGAAATGGAAAGACCAAACTACGGATATTCCAAAAAGTATAAAAAATTAAAAAAAGTTAAAAATGTGTAAAAAATTAAAGAATGCAGCACAGAGGCATTGTTTTATGAAAGGGTGTAGGTATATATATTATACACATTAGAAACTGAAAACTTATAATGAAACGTTTTCAATGATGACGACACTGTGTGGCCATCTGTCTGCGTAACAAATGAGTTTACCCTAGTACCCACTAGCGAGATCTAGCGAGCGTAAGATTAACCTTCAACTTCGTTAGAACTCATTTTAATGATAATTTTTTATTAAATATGCTTAAATTTTTACCATTTAAATTTTAACAATTAGACGAGATTGTAATAGTTGCCTTGAGGTTATGATATTGCTTAGTTCACTTTTAAGGATAAGAAAATTAACTTTACTCGTATCACACATATTTTATTACACACGTATAAGGTATTAGAATACAAAATAAGAAAAGAAAATTAAATACAAAATTAGAATATAAAAAACATCAAAAACTATAAACTTACTAGCGCTCCTGTCCGGCATCGCGCGGGTATTTTCTGGATCTCGACAACAGAGCTACCTACCGGTTCGAATTTTCTCGGAACAACTTAATCTCACACTCACGGTTTCATCAAAATCGGTTCAGCCGTTGATGAGTTCAGTCACATACACACGGACAGAAGAATTATATACATAAAGATGTAGATATTAGTTTATCTGTTTAGTTTACTAATGTCCATGATATATTTAACGCCCTATAATTAATAACCTAACGCTATACGCTTGAGATACCAATACCATAGTGAGTTAGAGTGAATAACATTTAGATGGACTGATGAGTACGGGTGATAAAGTGCCACTTACATGTTTTTTGGTGAGTTCTCCGACCATGAAGGTGGAGAGCCAGCCGCCGAAAGAGGACAGCGTGTTCGCCATACCAAAGATTGTACCTGTAATAAAAGTTATACATTATTAATCAGAATAACTACATCGGAAACATCAAAAGTATCTTAAGTAAGCAGTCCTCCATCGGATGTACATTTCGTCCAGGTAATTGACAGCACCGTGGCGGAGTGGTTTGTCATTTAGCTTAAAAATATGGGATTGTGTGATGCAGTGGTTGCAATGGTCAAGCAGAGTTTATACTATATCATCATTAACATAATTACAGCCACTGCTGATCTGGTGATGAATATTATAGTGCAAATTGTCGGTGATAACTTATGGATCTGAGACATGGTCTTTCACAGCTGGACGTATGAAGAAGCTCAAGGTCACTCAGCGAGCTATGGAGAGGGCTATGCTCGGGGTTTCTCTGCGTGATAAACTTAGCAATTAGGATATCCGATGTAAATAATGCTTTTTTCGCATCAGCTTCACTTCAACTCCTCGGTATAAGGTGCTAGGTAGCTTCTGTGTTAATTTCAACATTTAGAATCAGTTAACATACATACGCTAAATGTTAGTGACGTTTGATTTTTTTTCGGTTGCGTAACACTGCAATAGGTGCAAGAGTAGTTCAGGACCGTGTTTTGTGGCATTTCTTTGGGGAGGCCTATGTTCAGCAGTAGGCTTGTTATGGGCTGTGATGAATAGAATAGACTTTTTTTATTTAATATAGATTGAAATTTTTTACGTGGTATAGCTATAATATGGTTGTAGCATGAATGGGTCGAATCGACGGGGGTAGAACCACGCTCTCACAGAATACCAGCATAAAATAGCAGCTTAACGCTGCTGTCTTGTGGTGAGTGTAGAGAACCGGAGACCCCTTTTACTGGAAACGAGGCATTCTATCTTAGTCCTCAGGAGTGGTAACGCATTTAATTTTAATTCTTAATCGATAATAGATGTCTATGGGCCACAGTATCCAGTTACTGTCAGGTGGACTGTGTGCTCGTTTGTCAGTTTTATTCTATAAAATAAGGAATTTTTTACCTTTACCTCTGGTTCTAAAAATATCTCTGTTATGGGAATAATAAGCAAGAAACTGCTACAGTATCAGAATTGCTTTAGACTTCTTCATCCCCTTGTGCCATCGGTCCATTTCTCATAGTCGTCTCATAAGACCACCCACGGGACGAAATGGAGTAATGAATTTAATTACGTCTCCGCTGTATGGCAACACTTTGTTTTCACTCACCACTGAAGTTCGGCGCAATGTCAAGACCGTTGCCGAGGTACCCGGCGGTGACGGCACCGTTGATGGTGAGCGCCAATGTGAATATGGCTATCGACCACACCCTGTCGTGCCCCAGGAACGCTTGGACCACCATAAGGATACCTGTCAACAGAACAGTAATATTAAACAAACTTGAAGTACTATTTAGGAATTATAAATTTCACGGTATCGATTTTAAGGATATTATAGTTTTTAGGTTTAAAGTTAATTTGTACGTCAATAAAGTCATGCTGTAGCTATGAGTGATTTTCACCGGCAAAGGATTCCCAACAATGTTACACACGGGCACTGCATGTCAATAAAGTAAAAATAAAGTAAAGCTACAGCCTATATACGTCCCACTGCTGGACAAAGGCCTCCCCCCTCATTTCTGAGATGGTTTAAGGGCAAGGAAGTGTCCACCGCGCTGCCCCAATGCGTGTTGGCGAACTTCACATGTTTTCGAAATATTTTTTTTTCTTATTTCTCAGACATGCAGTTTTCCTCACGATTTTTTCCTTCACCGCTGAGCACGTGGTAAATCAGCACTTAAAATTGCAATTAACAATTTCATTGGTGCCGGCGGGGATCGAACCCGGGTTACTCGCGTTCTGTTATATTTACAGCGAGCGTTAACCATCTGAGCTACCACGGCTCTATCTGACTGCATGTCAATATTAAACTTTCAATTTTTAATTATTATTTTTAATGCAATCTACTTAGATAGAAAAGTTTATGTCAACAAGTCTTACAGTGAGTTGAGTTTAATGAATGAAATTAAATTTGTTTCTCTTTATTATACACTTTATTTTTCGCTATAACGAATTAAAGTATGCTTATCAAACGTAAAGATTTTTTTAATTTAATACAGTTTCAAAATGAGGTTCCTCTGTCCGGAGAAGTAACAGCAAACGAACATTCGCGGATATCCTCTATTTTGTAATATTTTTAAATGTCAATATATAATATTCTTAATAGAAATTGAAAAGGAATAGACACATAGATAACGGATCTATTCCTTTTCAATTAATTGAAAAAAAATATCCTGCTCTATGATAAAATTTCATTAACTAAAGGATCCCAAATATATCGAAACTTTCATTCAATTTTAAACATATATGTTTACCATTGATAGTACACCATATAACTTACCAGGTAAGCCAACAGCCAATCCAGTAAACAGTTTCCTCGCGGCGGTGGTGGAGAGGCGGCCGCTACGTCGCAGCGAGTCGGCAAGCACTGAAGACGCGAGCGCACACAGGTACTTGCCCAGGTATGGTAGAGAAGATAGGAGACCGTTCTAGAAAAAAAGTTAAATATCTAGTTGTAAAACACGTTATGTGCTACAAATCGTAATGTGATGGCGCTGTCAGAGAAATCATCATCCCCATGTCGTTTCGTGGGTGTCTTAAGAGGCAACTTTAAAGTTGAAATACAAACGTGATTTTTGTCATGTATTAGTGCGGAATAAAAATAATACACCGGATTTTTAGATTTCCTCTAATAAAAAATACCAATATAAAGCTAAATATGTCACAAACAAACCCCTGAATTAAAAAAATGTTGTTCCATAACCCCAATATTTTTGAAAGACCTGTAAACATACATAGACACCCCACAAGATAAAACAGAAGAGGCGGGTAAAAAAAAATCATCCCAGATTTTCCTGAATGGGAAATTGACTATTTTTATTTTGGGAGGTACTCAAAATAAAAATGTTTTTTAAGATTTTATTTCACAGTTTTGTAGGCGTGATTAATATCCATAACAATGCTAAATTACAGATTTGTGGCACCTTGGGTCTTTGAGCAAAACCGCGGACTACAAGAGGAAACTACAAGAGTTTTTTTTTCATAGAATGGGGTGACAAACGAGTACACAGTCCACCTAATGGTAAGTTTTTTTTTTTTTTATAGAAGAGGGGGCAAACGAGCATGTGGCTCACCTGATGTTAAGTGACTACCGCCGCCCATGATCAACTGCAACACCAGGGGAATTGCAGGTGCGTTGCCGGCCCTTTAGAAAGGAGTAAGCTCTTTTCTTGAAGGTCCCCAGGTCGTATCGGTCCGGAAAAATCGCTGGTGGTAAATTATTCCACAGAGAGGTTGTACGCGGAAGAAAACTCCTTTTGAAACGTACAGTGGTGGACCGCCAAGCATCCAGATGGTGTGGATGGTATCGGGACGTTTGCCGCGTAGTGCGTTCACGAAATTTGGCGGCTGGGATTAATCCGAACAATTCCTCAGAGCACTCTCCATGGTATATGCGAAAGAAAATGCAAAGGGATGCAACATCTCTTCGCAGCGCCAGTGAATCGAGCCGATCGGAAAGCACTCGGTCGCCGTCGATTCGAGGCCCTCTGCGCTGGATGTGGTCAAGAGGAAGAAGCTGGTACTGGGGAGCCCCAGCCCAGAGATGGGAACAGTATTCCATGTGCGGCCGAACCTGCGCCTTGTAAAGTTGCAGGCGGTGTGCCGGCATGAAATACTGTCCCGCTCTGCTGAGCACGCCAAGCTTTTTAGAGGCCAATTTGGCCTTCCCTTCCAAGTGACCACGAAACTGCACGTCACTCGATATGTCGACGCCGAGGATTCCGATACTGGCTGAGGCAATAAGGGGAGTCTTGAAACTGAGGGGATACGACAAAGGGGTTCTTTTTAGCGGTTAACGTTCTCCCTCCCGGAAACATAGTCTAATTTTCATAATTTTTGGCAATATTGTAAATATAACGAAAAACCAGGTCCGTGCGTTTTCATTGAATAAGTAATAATAGAAATATTGCGTACGATATAAGTCAATACAAATAAGAAAATATCTATATTTTTGACTTAAAACATTCTCGAGCGTTTTATTTTTTTTACGTAAACTAAACTGAATTACCTAAATTAAGGTATACTGAATCTAAGTCACCGAATGACCAAAATTGTCTATTACGTTAAGGTTTAGGGGAGTGAAAACGTTATCGCTCGAAACAATATTTTAAAAAGAAAATATGGGCAATTACTCTCAATTTTACAAATCTCTCTATCGCACGACGGCGATACGGAGCGAGAGATGTGAAACAGATAGCATACAGAATATAGTACAGTAATATAATACAGTATTCTGTGAGAGCGTGGTCCTCTCCGGCCGAGCCGACCCATCCGTGCTACAACCATAATATAACTGTAGCTTGGCTCTTCCAAGTAAACTTATTGGGGGGTAAGCGTGATCTTGACCAGCCGATCAAATCAAATAAATGGTCTTTGATTATCTTAAATCTAAATAACACCACATTAATATATCATATCCAGGCAAAGCCGGAACGAGTCGCTAGTATATAAAATTTTCCGATTTTGAGGCTAGCCACTACGTGTTGTGTAGTCCACATGAACAATGATGTCACTAACCTGTGGGTGGAACGAATCACGATGTGCGACTGACTGCCACAAAGATATCAAGACTTTTTGTTCGAGCGTTTCGTTCACATACTTCTCGGTATTTACGCATTCAATAACACAAGCCACATCAGGATATTTAATGTATTAAAGACGGCATGCCACGTTTCAAGGTTTTCCGGATCTCTACAATCACCATAAGAAACACAGCAGTATTAAGCTGCTATTTTACGCTGATATTCTGTGAGAGCGTAATCCTTCCCGGTCAAGTCGACCCATTCGTGCTATATATACTACAATTATAGTTAAGCTGCAAAGTGGATCTATCATGTAGGCGTAGAGTATATTATTAAAAAGCGACACATAATAATAAAAAAAAACATATAAAATTGACGTTTTTTTCTGGCGTATAATGACTAGCTAACGATAAACTAAATAATTTAAACTTTAGTAAGGAAGCAAAAAATTTCTATGCACGTTGTAATAACGTTTTAAAAATAACAAAGTTTCAAGAACAAACAATTTGTTTAACGTGTGTGTGGCGACTGAGGGAAACAAATCAGGAGATGTATGTTGCAGCGTATTCGTGATAAAGACTAAAAATAAAAAACTGTAGTTCCCAATCCATTTGCCAAGCGTGCCAAGCGTGCCAAGCGTGCCAACTATGGCAAATATCCCTCAGAGACAATCTATGAGGGAGGCCTATGTTCAACATTGGACTTTAATAGATTGTAACGGTAACCAACAATCAAATATTTTACTTTATAACTAAAAAAGAACATAAATTACTGTTAAATCAATATTGTAACATTGATATGCTTGAAGTACGTACTCGGTGATTTTTCATTTTACAAATAGGTATTCATTCATTGGAATTGTAGATGAGGCAGGTATAATTTACAACTCACACGACGTAATCCATCGACGTCAAGTATTGCCATTGTTTGCGCTAATATGCAAAACTTTGTGATTGGTACTCTGATTTGTTTCTATATTGACGGCTACTTGTATTCGGTTCGCCATCTTTTTATTGCTGACTTAATTATAACTTGGTCTATTTTTTTCCAATGTAACTATGGATATCTTAATTTAGTAAAGCGTTCAATAGAGCTCTGACGTGGTAGTGCTCGACCGGGGAAGGACCATGCACGCTCTCACAGAATACCAGCGTAAAATAGCAGTTAAATGCTGTTGTATTTCTTATATAATGAGTATAGAAAACCGGAGACCCTTTTTACTGGATCGAGGGTGACAACGCATCTGCATTTTGATGCTTAAGTATAAGTTAAGTAAAGTTACAGTCATCGATCATGGTTACAGCCAATATACGTCCCCGCTGTTGTTAAGGGTTAAGGGTTTTAGGGCAAGGAAGTGTCCGATACGCTGCCCCAATGCGTGTTGCTGTTTTCGAACATGACATGTCTTCTAAATTATTTCTTATTTTTCGGACATGCAGGTTTCTTTGCGATGTTTTCCTTCACTGCCGAGCATGTGGTAAATCAGCACTTAAAATTGCAATTAACAATTTCATTGCTGCCGGCGGCGATCAAACCCAGTTTGCTCGCGTGTTGTGAAATTTACAGCTAGTGCTAACCATCTGGGCTACCACGGTTCTTTTGATGCTTAATCGAGGATAAATATGGACGTCTATGGGCCACAGTATCCACTTCATCAGGTGGGCTGGGTGCTCGCCTTGTCACCCATATTCTATAATAAAAAACGTGGTGCACACTGCTAAGAAGACAAATTCTTCCCAGGGATCAGTAACACATGTGAAATAAATGTAAAGAGTAAATTAACAGCCCACAAACGTCCCACTGTTGTACACAAATGCCTTCTCTTATTTCTGAAACATCTACGTTTATCCTCGATTAAAAATCAAAATGCAGATTAGTTGTCACCTTTGAAGACTAAGATGGAATTCCTCGTTTCCAGTAAAAAAAAAACTAATTTACGCTGGCTCACAGCATGAGAGCGTGTCGTAAAGTTTTCAAATTTTGTCAAATACAAAGAAGATTTTTGTATGTATTTTTTTTAATAAGTAACAGTAACCAACAAGCACACAGTTTACCTAATGGTAAGTGGATGCTGTGGCCCATTGACACCTACAACTACAACTATCCTCGGTAAAAAAATAAGACAGTGTCTAGTTTCCAGTAAAAAAGATCTCCGGTTCTCTACACTCGAGCATACGAAACTGCTTTGTTGCTGCTTTTTGCATTGGTATAAGTGGTACTGAATGAAAGCGTGACTTTGATTCAAACTACTTTTACGGATTTTATCGCGTTTATTTATGTTATTTTTAATACACGATGTTTCGGGTGCTTTCCAGCACCCATGGTCACGGGGGACTGAGGTGACTTACGTCCCGATGTCAAAGTTAACCCGGAGTACCTTCAGCTTTTTAATTATTGTCTTTGGTCCGATTTACGCAGAATTAACTAACTGTGTTTTGAAGTCTGACAATGGTATGCTTGGGTTTAGTTTTAATTTTATTAGTTATAGGGTCCCAAGCAGGTGGTAGTACCAGCCTCCTTCTCTATTGAAATTAGGATGTTTTTTAATTTCAATAGCCTCATGTATCATCCTTGGTAGGAATCGATGTTCTTTTGCGAGGATTTGTGGTCTATCAAATCTGATGTAATGGTTGCGGATAGGATATGATCGCAAACTGCAGACTTAGGATGCGATCATATCCTAAACCTAAGCATACCACTGCCAGACTTGAAAATACAGTTAGTTCATTCTGCGTAGATCGGACCAAAGACAATAATTAAAAAGCTGAAGGTACTCCGGGTTAAATTTGACATCGGGACGTCAGTCACCTCAGTCCCCGTGACCTTGGGTGCTGCAAAGCACCCGAAACGTCGGGTATTAAAAATAACATAAATAAACGCGATAAGATCCGAAAAGTAGTTTGAAT